TGATTCGGAATGTAATCAAAAAGCGGTTGGCGAGCAAATTTGGAGGGGTCAGAACGGATTAACCGTATTTACATTGAACCTTATGGGAAAATTTGATTCGGGACGTGACCAAAATCGGTTGGCGACCAAATTTGGAGGGGTCAGAACGGATTAACCGTATTTACATTGAACCTTATGGGAAAATTTGATTCGGGTCGCGACCAATTCGGGTAGCGACCAGAGTTGCAGAACGAATTAAGTTCGTGACCCGAGGTACCACTGTATTTGGCCAACTGATAGTCTTTTGAAGAGAAAGACCTGTAGCTCTATTCTTAATAGCTCCGCTTTCTTTAGAGAGTGGCATCACCAACTTAGCATCTCAATAACTTTGGTATTGAGATTTAGCACCAAAAGATTCCCAAAGGTTCACTTATAAGGCAACCACTAAGCCACAAAGTGGTGCAAGCTGCACAAAATAATCGTGACCTATTTTAATGCTGATTTCCATTTGGAGTGATACTCTCTCAGAAAGATTTAAACAGGAACTGAGCATCCATATGGATTTGGCAGGATATTCCATTTCTGCACACCAGTCTCTTCTGGGGAAAAAAAAAGATATATGCAGGATATGTACAATATACAATATGATCAGTTTTGATGTTCTGGTTGACAGATTAAGGAAATAACCCACAGGAAAGTAACATTCATTCTAAGAATTGCTATTAAAATGTATGACGTTGGGCTGGAATTGTCATGAAGATTTCTTTTGTCAGCAATGGAATGTTTTCAATAATTGATTACATCTCATCAACTTACATCCGAAGATGAAGATTCAAGGACAATGCCAAATCCTGAAACCTGTGGCTCCAGTTTCAAGGAGGATTCGGCGACTTGCACGCTCGATCTGTCAGAATTCGCTGGTACCCTTTTTTCATTCTCTACAGCGCTGAGCTTCTTATTCACAGTAGGAGGTTCAACAGTCTTTGGGAGCACTTTTTTCTTTTTATTTCTCTTTCTTGACACTGTTGATTTCTGTGAACAAACCAGAGGAACCGGAGGCTGTTGTCTGTTCTGAGCAGCAACTGAAGAAAGAAATATCTGGGAGTGAGTTTATGAGCTTATGAAATTAGATTATGAAATGCCAAATGTGCTTCCCATCTCCATGTTGGCTAACGATGCTGGATGGTCTGCAAACGGTCTACCTCCTCCTCATCTGACCCTCAAAGCTCATAATCCACCCAACAAGTCCTACATATTCACAGAATGAGGAAGTGAAGGTGATACATGGAATAATCACTGCAAGCAAAGATGTCTAAAGAACATCTAAAGAAATCAACAAACAGGAAGCAAATTCTAGAATCCATTTTGTGGAACCAAAGGCAAGCGAAAAAGCTGAAAGGAACATTTACTGAAAAGCTGTCCACTTGCACACCACTCTTTAAGAAAAAGCTGTTGGATGAACTGGTCCATACAATAAAAACACTTGTACAATAAAAAAAAAAAACCAACCAAGAACCCTACTATTCTTTAGTAGGTGTTTTCTTTAGGGCAATCACTGTAAGCTTTTTAAAAAATGCATAGATTGAGAGATATTATATGACAATTCCAAGGGTTGCGTGTTTGTTTGAAAGACCGATTGTCCTACCGGCTTGAATCTGCATGATCTTCCTCATAGTCTTGAGCTCCTGAAGAATGGCCTGCAAAGCCGGCTGGCAATTACAAGTACAACAGTTTGATCCAGAGGAGGAGTTGGCTGCTGGAATTTCTCCTGAGGGAAAGAAGGAAATCAAAACAATTAGCCAGGCCAAGCTCTTCCCAACAGAATCTCTCAACAGGATTCTATAGCTGTTGTTACTTGCAGCCAGGAAGCTGAAACCTAAAATTAAAACTTCCACCATGAGTTTGTGACAAGCATGTGTTTATTGTCTTCCTCTTCACAAAGAATAATGTAAGACTGTATGGCACAGAGAAGACTACAAAATGGCACAGCATGCAACCTTTTCGTTAAATGAATTCATGGTGGAGGACAATAATACCAAACCTCACTGCAGTCACACCTCCTTTACATGAGTACCCCTTACTTGTCTGACTTTTGAAGAACGAAAGGCCTATATAATAAAAGCTATTTTGTAAAGACTTTACAGGACTAAAATGGATCAAATGCCATTTCTTCCTATGAAATGTTAAAATGCACACATCGTGCTCTTTGCAATCTGTAAACAGAGACGTTCTATGATGGTGAACATATTCATAACGCCCCTTTTGCACCATTATAGGAACTTCACTTTCTAGTGGTTTATGCTGAAGTGCTGTGGCAGAGGAAAATGGATTTTAACTATTTCTATACCATTGCATTATAACTGACAAATGATCAGGGAACGTTGATTGTAGTTACTGTAGATTTACACCCTGTTTATTAATTGACTTTAATTTTCCTGCACTTGATTTTAGGTGGCTATTGGGAGCTTAAATACAATCTTACATATTCTTGGCTCAAATATCATTTTCGGCCATTCAAATGTTTCATCCCAATAAATATGTAATTGCTATTAGGGTTATTGCTCCAAATAAGTGCTTCCATGGTCTCACAATAACTTTACTATTCAAATTAGACCATTTTGTTCACCGAGAAAGACGACCAGCATGCTTATTGCAAACTGGAGTGCTGAACTGCAGCTTAAATATGTATCCCAACACCTTCTGGATGGTGCCTTAAGAAACATTTTTTTTATCTCTACCCTCCTATACCATGTAGTGTGTAGGTCTTAAAGGACAACACCTGACTTTTAGTTTCCCTGTCACAAAGTCAAGCTATTCTGCACTTTATAAACAAAAGAAAAAGAAAAAGAAAAAGAAAAAGAAAAAGA